AGATAACATCTGTTATGAATTGGCACTATACAAATAAAATTGAAGTGAATTAAATTGAATTGAACTCAAGTCTGTGTTTACTCTTTCACCAAGTTCACTAGTTCACCTTTGTCCACTAGTTGGCAGATGTTGACATTTTTATTTTTGTCATAGTTTAATTTATTCAATGCGAGAAAGTAAAATATTTAAACAGTGTTGTTTTATTATTTTAATATATTTTAATATATTTATAGTCAATGGGTGTGTGTGTGTGTGTTTTCTCTTCATGCAGTGAAAAATAACAGTAAATGGTGAATGGTGGTCAGACACAAACATGAGGCCTCAGAGAGACAGAGGAAAATATCATCTGTTCCTCAGCTGGTAGTGAACGTACCTCGCTTGTCAACTGCATCCAAACAGATTTGAACGAACCGCGGCACTGTGGTTCCTTCACGCTCGCACAGAGTCAACAGATGGCAGCCGAAGACTCGATCTGGGACATTAACATTGATCATTAATGTTACAGCAGGTTAAATGGCTATTTCAAATGATCAAAAATTTCTTTCACATGTTAAAGCCTAAAATTCCTCCAACAGTAACTTCACTGTCACATGTAGATCCTGTTTGTTTGAGGGAGGCATTAAAGGTTTATAGCTGTCAGTGATGCTGTTTCTTCAAACTTCATTGAAACCTTCGTGACTTTCAGCTTCCAAAGATGATCTTTGTTGAAATGTGTTATTAGACATGAATGTAGAATATTTTAATAACCAACATCAGACAGCTTCAATGAAGAGCTGTAACAAGATGATACAGAATAAATGTGATACAGTTAGAAGACAACCTTAAAGCTATAAACATATTTTAGACAAAGCAGAAACCTTTGATGAGGCCTTTCTCCTGCAGAGTCTTCATGGACGGACGCCTGATGATAAACTTCTTCAGTCTGTTCTTCACTCCGTTCTTGTCAGCGCTGTCGGACGTGCTGTGTTTCAGCTTGGAGCTGCCAAACATGTCTGCAGAAAAACATGAAATGAAAAACAACTTTCATCCATTTGTTTTCAGTCTGTAAATCTGACATATCAGCTTATAAAACATTGTAATCAAATTATTAAAAATTATTTCCAGCTGTCTATAAAGCTACCTAACCCCTCTCACCTCCATCATTATTATCAAAGCACATTTCTTAATAACTGCCGTTTATTGTGATTCTTTAAGAATGCCTGATAGGAAGTAGCCAAAACAGTTTAGAAAGCGTTGGTTTGAACAGTAGGTGGATGAATGTGTTGGGTCAGGTACTCACTGATGGAGCGTCTGTGTACCGGGTTGCGCTGCTTGGTGTTTGGGGAGGCGGAGCCATAACCAGGTAGGGAGCTGTGTCTGGGCAGGTACTCTGTACTGTTTGACCTCCGCAGAGGAAGACCTCCATCTGCTTTAGTCTGAAGAGAAAAAGAGTTACATCCAGTGACCAAACAGCTTTTATTTCACTGATAATCTAAAGAAGAGTGTCTCCACCTTTTTCATTCACCATGTATCAGATTTTCAATTTGATATCTCAGTGGACTGAATCTCGGTTGGTTTGACAAAACTACACATTTGAAGTTTGGACTGGACAAACTGGGATAGACATTTGAGACACCAATTGACAATAAAAGAAAAAGGCATTCTTAAAGGAAGTGAGTTCTTACTGAAGAGTCAATGGTCTTTCTGATGGCGTCGTACCATTTACTGGCTGTGGAGTAACTGTCAGTCTGGAGGAGGTACTCACTTCCTGTGTTTGTTGTGATCTGCCACAGATGAAAATGACAAATTGAGTTGGGAACCAACAGAAGAAATAATTAAGTGTATGTGGTAAATGGACTGTACATAATAGGACCTTTCCAGTATCCGACCATTTAAAGCACTTTGCACTGCATGTTCTTACACTCTTCACTGTTACACAGATGATACCCAGTTATATCTATCAATCCAGACTTATGAAAAATGTATTCAAGGCAAGAAAACATGAATGTCTTGTAATTTCATTATATTAAACTGGGCCCAAACCCCTCCGAAACTCACTGTCTAAAGATATAGTTACTCTTGATGGTATTACCTTGGCCTCTAGCACCACTGTCAGGAATCTTGGAGTTATCTTTGATCAGGATATGTCCTTTAACTCCCACATAAAGCAAACCTCTAGGACTGCCTTTTTTCACTTATGTAACATTGCAAAAATCAGACACATCCTGTCACAGACAGATGCATCTGGTCCATGCCATTTTGAGCCTTAAGCTACCAAGCTCCTCTCCTGTGGAACCAGCAATGGATGGAGCCAGGGGTTGTCCTGCCCTGGTGACTGCTACCTCCTGAGCCACAGCCATGCTCATACGGGTGTTATAAGGGCCTTATAAGTGGTATAAAGTGCTGCAGGGATGATGTGCTTTTGTAGTCCAACCCTGAAATTAACATCATCCTGATTCCTTCTACAAACACCCAATGAGATTGTTCCATTGGATTTTGGAATATTGTAGAAAAAATCTCTGTGGTAAATAAAGGTTTATCATACCGACACATTTTGTTTAGCAAGATAATCTTCACTAATCAACTCCACTTTTGTGATTTTTGAAGGCGTAAAAAGCTAATATTAACGAACTACAACACAGTCACATGACTTCACCACCACTAAACTTCCAACTTGGAATTACATTTTCAGTTAATGTCTACAAGTTGTAAAGTTTGAGTTAGAAGTTTACAGAGCATGATTATAAACACAGATCAATAGATCAGTCTCACAGACAACCTCTGTAGTCTCATTTAGACGGTTAGCAACCGCTTTTTTAAGACTTTGTAAAAACTTAAACATTCACAGAGGGGTATTTACTGATGCCTCTTATGTCGGAGAACAAAACATGTTAACCACAGATCTTATTTCAGACATCCAACCATAAACCCATGAAAGAGAAAGTGAAAATATAAGCCCTACTCTAAGAGATTTAATCAAAGCCTTATAAAGGCATATAGCAGTCAAAATAAAATCACACTTTCTGACAGCTTCTGAGGTGCTGTGAGAGATCAGGGTGACCATGTAAAAGCTTTGTAGTTTTTTTTACCTGGAACACATTTTTCCTGCTCGACTTTTCCGTCGTCCACTCGATAAAAGCTCCACACAGCTGAACAACATCTGTCTTACTTCCTGGTTTCTGCTCCAGAAGTCAGAGGTCACACAGCCCAACAAATATTAATAGATTAACACAATAAAAATAAAAATACTACATACATTGGACTGAACTTTATTCAGGGTTTCTGCACTTTCAAGTTAAATGCAAGAATCACTTCAATTGTAAGTGTAGGTGTACAAGGGCAGAAGATATAGTAGAAATACAGTGGAGATATAGTAAAGATATAGTAGACATATAGTATAAATATACACCGATCAGCCCTAACACTGTGAGCACTGCCAGTGAA